TGTTACGATCCTGGTCATTTCCAAAGTGCAAATTCACAATGAAAGACAATGCCACCCAATTGCGAAAGGAATGAAAGCACTTGCAAAGAGATAGAGACCAGAGGAGAGAGAAAGAAGAAGAAGAAGAAGAAGAAGAAGAAGAAGAAGAAGATATGCACCAGCAAGACCAATGACAATTCCCCCTTCTCTCTCCACCTTCCTCCTCCTCCTTCACTTCGCCAATCTTATTCTTCTCCCAATAATAATAACAACAATGAATGGATGAACCAGAATCAATATCCGAAGTTCCCTCTTACTGCTGACTCAACAACAACAACAACAACAACAACAACAAGTCCACCATAGCTATGGCTTCCCTCCTTCAGCCTCCTCTCTCATGCATAGGCTATGGCGGACTACTGAGGGCCCTGCCCTCCTGTCCAAAGGACAACCCAAAGCAGCTATGGCGCTGCACTCCTGTCCAAAGGACAACCCAAAGCAGGTATGATGCCGCTGACTGGTCCGCCATGCCTGACTCTGCCTCGAGCTTCCTTGGTGCGGCACTACCCCAACTGGGGCCTTCCAGATGCAGCGCCCAACAAGGTGATGAAGACGGTGTCCACCATAGCCAGGTAGGTGCCTCGCCACTCTCCTCCTTAGCCCCCTTCTTCCTCCTCCTCAAGCTGGGCTGCTTGCCATAGCCAGGCTGAGCACCAGCTGCCGTTCACCTCCAAGCAGTGCTGTATCAGCAAGCGCTGTGCTCCAGCAGCATGTCGCCAATCCTTGCATACCGCAAATGAGGAGGAGCTACTTGCTCCTCCGAAAGATATAGCGGCCTACTGGCCTCCTGGGCGGTGACTTCCTAGGCCGAGCGGCCTCCCAGCAACCGGTACCTCCTCCCTTTCGGAGGGAAACATCATTGCAGGCTCTGCTAACCTCCGGACAGGCCCTAGACCCAGGCTACTTGGACTGGTACCGGCCTACCTCTAGCCTACTGCTACTGGGCCTCTAAAAATGCCAACTTTTTGTCTTCTTCTGTTCGGCCTCCAGTACCCGACACTTCTACCACTACTTACAGTGGTACCGGCCTACCTGCTACTTGAGTGTTTTTCCCCTCTGCTCTAAGTGCTGCGGGCCTACCCCCGCTATTCGAGTGTTTTCCCCCCTGCAACCCTTCACAGTCACGGCCACAGGTAAGTACCGGCCCTGCGGGGCCTTGCAACCAACAAGTACCCTTGCGGGTCACACACACACTCAACCGACAAGCACTCAGACAGGCATGCAAACCAGCAGGCAAGCACACACACACAGACATGGAAATCACAGCAGAATGCGGGAATTTCAGCAAGGCATTCATTCCAGCAACGAATCCCAGAAATCAGCAGTGTTCTCAATCTGTGTTTTTGGTGGGTCATTACACTACCCCCCTCTCAAGAGCGAGGTCCCTTCGAGCGAGTAACTCATTCAGAGTCGTCACAAAAAGCATCGTAGGCGTAGATCAAGAAGAGAGACTTAGTAATACCGTAAGGAGTGAGTCTTGCAGAAAACTTAACAGTTTGTCCATCTGTGGTCTGTCGTTCATAAGTGTTCACAACACGTGGAGCATTCTTTAGCAGCTCTTTCGGTCGATCCAGAAAAACTCGTTCAACGGGTGATAGAGGAAGTGAACCTTATACTGTTTGTTCCTCCCTCTGCCTTCATGGGAAACGATTCTGTCTATCTCATGGCCGTCGTCGATAGGACGAGGTATCATAGGATCTCGGAAGGGAAAAGTTTCATCATCGATGTGTGGGAACAGTTTGGATGCGTGAAAGACCGGATATGTGCGCAGATGAGGAGGCACGTCAATCACATATGAAGGACCAAATTCATCCCCAATCACCTTCAGAACCTGCCAAGGGCCATAATACAATGGAAGAAGCTTTCGTGATACACCCTCTTCATCAGAGAACTCATACATTTTGACCCAGACAAAATCCCCTACTTTGAAGTTCGGTTATTTGCGCGACTTGTTAGGATGTTTGATCATGGCATGCTGACGCTTGTTCATTGCTGCGATAGCAGCTTTGAGCAGCCGTGCGTACTTGGCATGTAGCCAGGCATGCCGGGCGTCAGACCAGGGGACCGTTCGGGGAACAAATAGGTGAGAGGATTGCGCAACTGCCAACCATACTGTAGCTGATTTGGTGTCACGCCAATTGCAGAGTGAATGGAGTTGTTATACAACCCCTTCACTTTGTATAACTCCTTGTCCCATGTGTTCTGATCTGGAACAATTAATGCGCGCAGTAGTTGAATGACAGTCTGGTTGATTTCCTCGGCCTGTCCATTGGCTTCGGGGTGTCGACCAGAAGTCTTGTTGAGTTTGATGTCATAGATTTGTGAAGTGAAGTCCTTCCAATCTGCGCTAATGAACCTGGTGTCCCGGTCACTCACAAGAGTTTTCGGGGGTCCATACTGCAGAATGTACTGCTGGTGAAATTCTTCAATCACTAGCTCAGTTGGTGCATGGGGAGGTAGAGGAATCAAGTTCAAAAATTTGGAAAAGCGATCCACAATGACCATGACTTGTGAATGTCCTCCCTCACTCACCTTTCCCATGTCCATGCAATCGATAGAGACCGACTCACCGGGCCCATCAGGAATTGGGAGGGGTTTCAGCAGGCCATACGGCTTATGCCTATGGACCTTGACTCCTTGACAAACTTGACATTCAGCAATAAATTTCTGAGCAGATCATTTCATTCCTGGCCAATCAAACTGCTGCAGAAGACTTCCATAAGTCTTCTCAAAACCGAAATGTCCACTCCGACCATGTGCCAAGTCCAAGAAATGAGTCCGGAGAGGCACATGGTTGGGTACACACAAACGATCAAACTTCCCATACCCTCGCACTCATGAAAATCAGGCTGACTGCTAGGGTCAGCCTTGAGCTGCTCAAGGATGGGACTAAGGTCCGGATCCTTGGCGGCGTGTTCGACGAGATCCTCCTTCAGTTTCCTTCGGAGGTCATATGAACTCACAAGGCAAGTCAAAAACTCAAGGTGACGCGACAAAGCATCAGCAACACGATTATAACAACCTTTCTTATGTTTCAGTTCAAAATTGTACACATCAATGTCATGCAACCAGCGGGTCAACATTGGGGAAAGATCAGTTTGGCGTCTTAATCGACTGCAAGGTCTGATGATCTGAGTAGACCTTGAAGTGACGACCCAAGAGGTAGTGCTTCCAATGTGTGAGCGCCTCGCGCAAGGCGTAGAGCTCACACATGTACGTGGAGGTAGCTACCTTGTGGCTAGGCATGTGTTTGCTGTAATATTTGAGCGGACGCAGACCATCACCATCATCTTGTTGCAGCACTGCACCAATCCCAAACTGGCTCGCGTCCGTAGTAACCATGAACGTGAGGTTGGGATCCGCAATGTGGAGCACATAATGACTCCCCAATGCCTCTTTCAAGGCTTGGAATGCAGTCTCACATTTCTCATATCACGCATAGGCAACATTCTTACTTGTTAGTCTCGAGAGTGGGTGAGCGATGACATAAAATTTGGGCACAAACTTCCGATAATACGAGGCCAAACCCAGAAAAGAACGCAGTTCGCGTACGTTTGTCGGTTGAGGCCACTTTCGTATGACCTCAACCTTGGTTGCCTCTGGCTCAAGGCCGTTTGCAGACAACCGGTGCCCAAGATAGATGACGATGTCCCTTCCAAACTCAGATTTCTCTAAGTTGAGATGCATCTGTGCCTCCTTGAGGACCTGCAAAACCTCCTCAAGGTGTTTGACGTGCTCTTCCATGGACTTGCTGAAAATCAGGATGTCATCGAGGTAGACAACAACAAACCTGTTAAGCTGATG